TGGCAGAGCCCAATTGAATCAAGCTTGGGATGAGGATGCCTTTCTGTCCTTTTAAAATCACATTTTTCAATTTGGCCTCCTTCCCCAGGGATTGCTGAGACTCCTCTTGCTGCATATGCTGGGGTCTTACAGGAAAGTTGATTTTTAAATATTTCTTTTTGGAGGAAGAGATAAAAATCACATTAACTCTGGGATTCCTTTAAATGCCACACTGACAGTAACATTTCCTGCAGTCTTTTTCACACAGTGAGCAGCTGCAGTCCGGCTCTGATAGTGATATTTGAAATTAATCCAAATTACTCCATCCCAATCAACAAAAATTGGGAATTCCTGGGTTGCCTTTCAAAGGAGGATGGTGAGAAGCAGAGCTTGGTCCCAGCTCAATCTCTGGTTTGAATGAGCTGCCAGAAAGGAGGAGAGGGAGAGGAGAGGAGAGGAGAGGAGAGGAGAGGAGAGGAGAGGAGATTCTTCCCCTCAGGTGAGAAAGAATCCCTGAATTGCAAGGGTTTTGTGTTTGGGTGTCTCAGATGCAGTGTGAGAGCTCCAAACCCAGCAGTGATGGTGGGAACTCATAAAATTCCCACTCAGAGAGGGCTCCAAGGGCAGATGCTCTTTGGAATGTCCCATATTGGATCAAACTCATCTAAAGTGAATTTTCCAGTTCAGGATGGGAGTCCTGGGCAAAACCTGGGATCAGGAAGGGGTTTTACCATCTTAGGAAAAGGAAATTAATTGTCCTGTGAGTGTCTGGGTGAGCTGCAGGATTTGCAAACACAGGAGGGCTGGCAAGAGACTGGGACCTTCCAATCAGTGCTTCCTGGAAGTGGGAATGAGTTTGGTCTGAAAAACAATCTGTAATATTTATTACAGGTGTGCCAAGAGGTTTGGTAGGTGCCCCCACCTGGGACTGAGGGCAAACCTCTTTGTTTTCAGGGATTTGCTGTCAGAATTCCACCAGGTTATCGGGGATGTTCCCTGGCTCAATGCACTGAAAACCTCAATTTCTTTTAGATGTGGAAGTGAGGACTTTGATTCTTAAATCTGGATTTTGTGGCAGAGGAGGAGCTGGAGTTGGGTTTTGTGATCTCACGAGCTGAAGTTGTTTCCCTTTGAGGGCTTTCCTAACTCAATATCAGATATCACAAAAAGCATGATAGGAGTGAATAAAAGAGAAGAAACCCCCTTAGACAAACAGCCCTTAATGTGCAGTTTGTACACATCTGCACTGAGGGGGAACTGCTCTGTGGTGGCTCTGGGGATGAGTTTAGCTGAATATTTCAGTGTCAGATGCTGGCACAGCCCTGGCTCCCAGCACAGCAGCATTTCCCAGTGCACTGCTTGGTTTGGATGTGCTGAGCACACCTGGAAAATGCTGAGTGTGCAGGGAGGGGTTGGATGTGTGCCTCAGGAGACCCTGGGAAGGTGCAGGAGGGAATGAGGCTCTGGGATGGAGGCTCTGGGATGGAGGCCCTGGGATGGAGGCCCTGGGATGGAGGCCCTGGGATGGAGCTCCTGAGGGATCTGCTCATCTTCCACCAGCCTGGGTTCATCCCCTGGGTGCTCCTGGCGCCTCTGCATCCCTCAGGGACAGAAACCCAGCTCCTCCAGGGGCTGTTTGCTCTCACTGCTAACCAGCTCACACCCCACACTCCTGCCTTTATTTTTCTAATTTATTTTTTTAATTTTTCCCCCCCTGGCTTTGTCCTGTGTGCCACGAACATCCAGGAGCAGGGGCTGAACTCCCTGCCCTGCTGGCAGCAGTGTCAGGAGGGCAAAGGTTGGGCTCTGTTTGTTGACTCAGGGCTGTGGTTGCTGGGCAGAACCCTCTCCTTGCTCTCCTTGGCCAGCCCTGCCCCTCCTTGGTGCCTCCAGGGTGCCCCAAACCACTGGGATCCCCAGGGAATGAGGATGAGGATGAGGATTGGGGTGCTCCACAATGGATGGATGGGCCTGGAGAGGCTCCTGGTACCTGTGCTGACAAAGCTGCATGAACAGCCAGTTTGGAACTGCTTGAAAATGCACAAAATGCCTTTTTTTAAAGTGGGGGAAAGCCAGGGGTGGGCTGGATTTGGTTCTCCTCGTGCCTCAGCACCTTCAGGGCACCTCTCCCTCCCTCCTGCATGGGCTGCTCTGGTTTTGTGGCTGTGTCACTCTGGGGGAGTGAGGGCAGCTCAGCCCCATGTGGGATTTCCCTCTCTGCTGCTTTTCCAGCCTGGAATATTTTTGTTGCAGAGGTGAACTGACCTTGCTGGCTCCTTGCTGTACCTCAGACTTAGAGATGAGAGGAAAGAACAGGCTCTGGGATGGACCTGGGGACAGGCAGAGGGTTAAAGAATAAAGCAGGGATTTATTAAAATCCATCCCCTCAATGGATCCACCTTGGGCAGCACAAGAGCCCAGCCAGGGCTGCACCCAAAATGAACCAAAATGGTCCCAAAATGAACCCAAGATGAACCAAAATGGTCCCAAAATGCACAAACACTCACAGGGACTCTCACTTTTATCAATTCTGCCTCATTTGCATATTGGAATTAATTGTCCAATTCCAGCTTTAGATTATATAAGTCCCATCCTTCTTGTTTTTCTCTCTTCAATTCACTCTTTATAGGAATGCATGAAATAAAAGCCTGAGTCCCTCAGAGAGAGAAAAGAATGCAGAGTTTGAATTAGAACCTCTAGAGAAGCTGAAATATATTATGAAGTCAGGCAGACTTGAAGTAGAAGTGTAAGTTTTAGCTTTAAGTAAATAGAAATACATCTTGAGTGCCTTAGGAGACTGTGTTAGCCAGTCAAAGGCCCTAAAGCCTGGTTGAACTTAGCTCCAGACATAACAAAAACACAACAGGACATTGCTTGGGTTTTCAGATGGAATAGATAGAACTGTTTGTGTAAATAGATAAAATTATATATGCAGATTTTAGGTAAGAACACAGATTGTACCATTTACATAAATAGACAAAAATTATATATGTAAGATTTTGTGTGAGAACTGACATTACTTTTGTACATTAGAATTAAGTTCAGATTGGTGCAGAATGTTTTAGAATCGTGTTTTTAGCTGATTGGATGATTTATGAATAAAAAGCCCCAGTAATGGGGTGCAGATGATGATGATGATGAAGAAGAAAAGGAGATAGTGGCTGCTGCTTTTGCTGCTTCTGCTCAAAACATCAGGGCTCTATGCCAGAAAGCTTTTAGCACAGACTTTAATAATTACTCTGAACTCCTTGCATTGATGCAGTAAACAACTTTACTACAACAAATAACTGCTCTTCTCTCTTTGAAGACCCAAGGCCCACAATGACAACCATTGTTTGTATTTTTTGGGACTGCAGCTTGTCCTTGGTCAAGCTGGAAAAGATTGTTTTGTCTCCCAACCCTGTGAAGGGAACTTGTTAACACCTAATAAGAAGCTCAGAGCTACACCTAAAGCAGCACAGAATCTGAAAAATATAAAAGTTAAAACCTGAGGCATCACCTGTTTCCTTCATCTGACTTGACTCTCTGTGGCTGAAGTGTGAACTGGAGTTTTTGGTCCTGAGCTGTGTTTTTGGGGAGAGGACACCCAGCCTTTGGGTCATGGGCAGCACAGCCCTGCAGAGCAGAGCCAAACCCTGCTGAAGTCACTGGGGCCGCGCTGTTCTCGTGGTCTGTGGATCAGAATGAGTCAAGTTTGAGAAACAATTGCAGGGGCCTCCAGCCCTGTGGTGGTGGGGGAGAGCTGCCTTTCATCCACCACAGTAACGTGGAATTTGTGTGTTCAGGGATGTGCCATTGCACGGGGTGCAGAGAGGCAAAAACTTCCCATGGGGGATTCTTTTTTAAAAACAGTTGCAGAGCTTTTCTGTGTTGGAAAACATCCCCTCATTGCTTTGGGATTCTTTTTAAAACAGTTGCAAAGCGTTACTGTGTGGGAAACCATCCCCTCACATCAGGAGAGGGCCTGAGGGCACAGCTGGGGCCTCATCACCCCAAAGCTGATCCCTCCCAGGTTCTTCTTGAGCAATTTGTGTCCTGCAGCAAGTGAGCAGAGCCTGGCTGGAGAAGCTGCTCACCGTGAGCTTTATCAGGGAGCTTCAATCCATGCCCTGAGCCCGGGCAGGGGAGTGCCTGAGAGATCAGGGGTGATGGAACGCCAGGGGTGATGGAATATGGGCTGGGGAGCGGCTGGAAGGAGCAGCACCTGCAAGGGAGGGGTGGCAGCGCCGGCTGGGGATGGGGCACAGGTGGTGATGTTCCGATGGGCAGCAGGGCTGAGGGTGAGGGAGGGCAGCAGGTGCAGGATCAGCCAGGCTCGGTGTGGCAGGACACAGTGCCAGCATCGCCCGCGGGGGACAGGCAGGGGGACACCCCCGAGGGACCGAACGCCACCAAACCCCGCGGGTGCCGAGGCTCGGGCCGGAATCCCTCCCCGGGGATGCCCTCGGGGGCGCCGCCCAGCCCGGCCCCATCCGCGCTGCCCCCGGCGGGGCGTGCGGAGCCCCCGGCCCGCGGGGAAGGAAGGACGAGCCAGCCCCGTCCGGCTGCGGCTTCCTCCGCAAGCCCTGCCTCGGTGCACGGTGCCCGCCCCCGGCCCTCCCCCGGCTCTCCCCGCTCCGAGCGCCCCGAGCCGGCCGGGCCGAGCCGAGCCGAGCCGAGCCGCCTCCGGGGGAGCCCGCTGAGCGCAACAGTTCCCCCCGAGCCCGGGGGACCCCTCGGCACCGGGAGGAGGCTGCGCGGAGGAGCAGCCGCCGCCGGGCTGAGGCAGCGCCCGGAGCTGCCCGGAGCTGCCCGGATCCGGCGGTTCTGCCGCTGCCGGCGATGGAGCGGAGCGGAGCGGCCGAGCCGCGGCTCCTCCCGGCCGGGCGCAGCCGCCCCAGCCTCCGCCTGAGGGAGCGGAGCCGCCCCGCCGCCGCCGGGCAGCGACCCCTCCGCTGATCCCCCCGAGCCTCCCGGGCATCCTCGGAACCTCCCGAGCCTTTGTGCATCCCCTGAGCCCTTTGTGCCGTGCCCCCCCAGGCTCGGCGCCCCCTTGCATGCGGCCCCCGGGCTGCGGGAGCCGCCGGCCATGGGCACCAAGCAGACCAAGGGCTGCCAGCCGGGCAGCGCCGGGGAGAGCCCCCCGGGGCAGCCCCGCAGGAAGGCGGCCCCCAGGGAAAGGGGCGATTTCCTGGCTTCCCTCGTGGCTAAGTCCGGCGAGAAGTTCGGCAAGGGCGCCGGCGCCAGCTTGCCCCCGTACCACCGGAGGATCTGCATGATCCAGGACATGCTGCTGCTGGTCAAGCAGGGCAGGCAGGAGGAGGCCACCGAGCTGCTGAAGAACCTGCGGCAGGTGAGTGAGCACGGGCGGCTTTCTCCGGGGAAGGGGCTGAGCTGGGGAAAACGGAGCTGGAGAACAACTGGTGCTGCTTTATGGTGGCAAACAGCGGCCACGCTCCGCTCCTGCGGCTCTGACTCGCGTGGTGGAATTTTGGGGAAGCTGCAGGGTGGTCAGGGTGTCACAGAGAGGGAAATACCCCCAGGGAGGTGCTCGGTGCTGTCTACAACCAGCAAACGCTGCCGGGTGTGTTTTTCCCCCTTCCCTTTTGCCTTGTGGCTCTGGGGTTTGCAGCCTGCTCCAAGTGGTTCCCACTCAACTTTCCAAAAGTTTGGTGTTTCAAGCAGCTCCGGAAAAGCGCCGAGGCAATTGGAGCTGGCAGCTTTTGAGAATCAGCTCTTTTCTTTGCTGGCTCACAAATACCCAGAGCTGGCAGCGTTGCTTTTTTATCTTTTTGGCGCACACAATCGCCTGGTGGAGTTTTGCTGGTGTTGACTGTGGCTGGGAGAAACGAGAATTCCCCACTCCCCACTCTGGGGAAATGGGGAATTAATTGTAGCGAGCCCGAGACCTTTTGCTTTGAAAAATCTGTTTGAGCTGGGCATTAGCTGGGAAGCAACAGGACGGAAAGTTGCTGTGAGCAAACAGAAAAGCAAATTAGCATTTAATCTTTTCCTGCTGATAGGTGCTGATAAAAACACCCGAGTGCTCTGGGCGTTTTCAAGGCTCTGGGGTGCGCAGGGCTTTGAGTTTTCCATGCAAACCTAAAGCAGATCCATCTTCCAGCTCGGGTTTTCTCCCTGGGCTGCTCGGTGTAACCAGTTCTGCCAGCCGGGTAAAAGTTGTTCAGATCTCTGCTGGGCACGGGGAGCTGATTTTTTGCCCTATAGTTTGTCCATGGGACTGCTCCAGTCTGGTTTTCTTTTGGGATTTTGTGTTTGGGGTTTGCTGCTGGTGGTTTTCTGGTTTTCTTTTGGGATTTTGTGTTTGGGGGTCGCTGCTGGTGGTTTTCTGGTTTTCTTTTGGGATTTTGTCTTTGGGGTTTGCTGCTGTTGTTTTTTTTTTTTGCTGATAGCATTTCATCCCCACACCATTTTCTGGTCCAGGTGACTTTTCAGTGAGTGGATGTGTTGTTTGGGGCTTGTCCCCATTCAGCCCATTTCCATTTCTCCCTCTGCCCTGCGGGTTTAGGATTACCTTCAGAGCAGCCCAGCTGAGAAATCTGAACTGTGTCATATGATTTCTGGTTTTTTTCATGGAAAACTCTCCCCACTTTCAACTTTGGGATAAAATACTTTTCCTGAGAGGAGCGTGCTGCCTCTCTGGGATTTGGGGGTGGAATTCCTTGGGACAGTGACCTCTCCATTTGGGATCTGTGGGACCGTGGGGGCTGAGCTGGGCAGCAGATCAGAGCCCAAATGTTGCACCCTCTCAGCCACGCCAAATCTTTATCGTTGCCACAGCCCATTGGAGCTGGCAGAAGGGCAGGTGCTAATTTTAGAGGGTGTTTATCTCAAACACCTCCCCAAAAAATAAATCTTGGGGCCTGCAAAGTGCCAGGAATCACTCTCACGTTCTCCCTGGCTCCAGGCTGGTTTTTCTCAGGTCTGTCCTCACTCTCTGTGCAGAATGAGGGAGCTGGCATGTGTCACCATGGATGCCCTAATAACAAACCTGACCACGGGGGAACCCTCTCATCTCTGGAGATTGGGAAGAAAAAGCTAAAAATTAATCTCAAACTGCTGGGGGAAGCAAGGAACCTGTTACAGTCAGGTGCATCTCTGGCACTGAGTGTCTCTGAAGAGCTCTCTCTGATAAAATATATCTTAGAGTGTCAAAACAGAGAACTCTCTGTCCTAGATACCATAATAGACTCCAGGCAGGTTTTTAATGAGGTGATATTAATCCCTGCCTCCAGGGAGGGAGTGTGGGATGCCCCACTGAACAAATCCCGGCTGCTCTGGGGCTTCCAGCAGCTGCATTTTGGGAGGGGATGGTTCAGGAGGGGCTCCAAGGCACCCCTGGGGTTGTTCCCACTCCAGCAGGAGCCTCCCAGAGCTCCCTTGGAGTGTCTCAGCCTGCAAGGGAGGATTTGGGGAGAAGGAAAGGGGTGGGTGGATGAGCCTGGTGGGGCAGAGACTTTTCCCTCAGCCAATTTTAGGGTGTCTGTTCTCCGTGCGGGTGCTGCTGTAAAACTGGGGGTTTTCCAGCAAAATTGGGGTTTTCCCAGCAAACCCAGTGCCCTGGTGCCCAGCTCTCAGCAGAGATTTTTTTTAAATCCCAGGCATTTAGGTCACTGGGAGCCTTTCCACTGACTTGAGCTGGCTTTGAAGCCAGCCCAGCGTGCTGCTGAGGGGTGGCTGACAGCATCCCTCCACAATTTCTTTTTGGAGCAGGATGAGCACATGGCCAGAGCTGAAAATCTTGGTTTTTTGTGCCATAACACCCTGCCCTACCCACCCACTGCAAGACAAGGTCTGGGGGGCTTTTTTTGCCCCCACAAAAGGTGTGTTTGATAATCAGAGCAGGGCTGCAATCCTGTATACAATCCTGTCATTCCTGTCCTATCCTTGGCATCAATGTCCACTGTGGCCTTTGCATTCCACCCATTTATTTGGAATTTATTTGGAATTTATTTAGAATTTATCCATCCTTCTCCCTCCCCTGAGGTGGCAGCGATGCTGTTTTCCTTACAGGCTCCTGTAAGAATTAATTTCTGTTTCTGGGGATGCCTGGGGGTTGCAAACAGCTATAAAATACTGAGATACAAAGTGATTTTTTTTTTTGTTTTGGTTTGTTTGTTTGTTTAAAAATATAACAAGTGCGAAGAGCAGACAGAGTTTGCTTCCTCAGAGAGGTCAGCAGTGGTCTCTGCTGTGGAGGCAATTCGATCCCACTGCCTGCCCCCAAAATAACACTCCTGTTATTGCTGCTGCCAGCAGCCATTCCAAAGGGTTTGTGCTCCTCTGGCACAGCCAGGCTAATTTAACATCGAGCTCCTGAGGCACACAATACTCATTTCTTTTTCCTCCTTTCTGCTCTGGAGCCCAAAATTGAAACCCCCCAAATCCCAACTTTTATATGTGCTCTCCTTGGCCGAGGTGTTTTCCCTCAGGTGCTGCAGGGAGGATGCCTCTGGCATAAATGCAGTGGGAGGACACTGAAATAATTAACATTTGCTTTAGGCTGGTGTTGGGGGTTGCCAGAGGCTCGCTGGTCACCTGGAGGGAGCTGCTGGAAGTGACTCCTGCACTGAATAACTTGGAATTTATCTGCCATGGAGTGACTTCCCAGGTTTACCTGGCAGCATCTTCTCTGCTTTCCTACAAGGAGAGGCTAAAAAATGAATTTATTCAGGGTGTCCAGCACTTGGGACATGGGAACCCCCTCTCAAACCCCTCACACCATCCAGCTGGGAGAATTCCAGCTCCGTTTTTCCCAGCTGCAGAGCAGGATAGGTTTGAACATCACAGAGCGTGGCAATTTTATTTTTCCTTTTATTTTCTCCCCCATACTGGTGAGTTTCAGTGGTTAAGGCAGCCAAGCGCCGTCAGTATATTAAATTCTGGGAGTGTCTCTCCTGCTGGGGAGAGGATTTGTAAAACAAAGCATGTTTTCCTCCTCCTCCCTGCTGCCAGAGGATCGCTTTTCCCAGGCGAGATGGGGAAGCTCTTCCCAGCCCATTACGTTGCACTCAAGGAATTTGCCATTGGCTACGTGGAGCTTTTGCTGCTCTTCTGGGGCTGGGGGAGAGGGGAGGAAGAGGAGGATGAGGAATCCAGCAGATCTGAGCATCATCTGCACAGGGCAGGTGAGCAGCAGCTGCAGGAATTCAGTGGGGAAAGGGGGGAAAGCAAAGCATGGCAGTAAATGCCAGGGTGTGGCCAAAGCCAAATGCCAAGGTCCAAGGTGTGGCACCTCTGGCAAGGTGGATCCTGTGCCCTGTGCCAGCCTGGGGTGGGCATTGCCAGGGTGGGGAGGGCCCCAAATGCGCAAAAACACCACCAAAAATCCCATTTGCAGGAAAGGACTGGGAGCAAACGTGCTCTGTGCCCCTCAAACATTGCGGCCCCTCCTGGCTGGGGTCCAGCCTGGGATCCCTGGGGTTTGTCCCACAAAACCTTGGGGTTTACCCCACAAAACCGTGGGGTTTATCCCACAAAACCGTGGGGTTTGTCCCAGAAAACCTTGGAGTTTATCCCACAAAACCTTGGGGTTTATCCCACAAAACCTTGAGGGTTACCCCACAAAACCTTGGGATTTATCCCACAAAACCGTGAGGGTTATCCCACAACACCTTGGGGATTTATCCCACAAAACCTTGGGGTTTGTCCCACAACACCTTGGGGTTTATCCCACAAAACCTTGAGGGTTACCCCACAAAACTTTGGGATTTATTCCACAAAACCTTGGGGTTTATCCCACAAACAGCCCCTGCTGTGGGTGCAGCTGTGCCCCTGCCCCATCCCAAGGGGATTTTCCAGCCAGAGTTTGTGGGGAATGAGAGACGAGCTGAGCAACCTGGGAACTGTGTGGCACAGGGATGCTTAATTAATTAATTAATAATTAATATCATCATTGTAAAAGGGGCTTGACTGGATAATAAAACACACCAAAAAAAATTAGAAATACTGATGGTGCCAGCTCACTTTGGGCTCCTGTGACTTCCTCCTTGAGACACAAGAGAGGGGAAAAATGAAAATCTTTGTGGCTGGGCTCAGTGCTGGCCCTGTGCTCCCCAGCCATGGGCAGCATCCCATGGAAGCCACCTCAGGAATGCTGGAGGAGTTTCCCCAAAAATGAGCACCTGGTCCCTTCTCCTGTGTGCTCAGAGCACCAGAGGTGACCCAGCCTGGGGTCTCTGGGGGTCTCTGGGCTCCTCCCAGCCTGTGGCTGCCAGCTGAGGGCAGAGATGAGGAATTTTGCAGGATTTGGGTTGTTTTTCCCCAATTGGGAGCTGCTGGGGCTGGGTGAGGGCCCTGCAGCAGGGCCCCACAGGGTGGAAGTTGGGTAAC